GATGTGACCTAGGGAGCACAAGTCCCGCCAGGGCAAAGCCTCGCTGGCTCGCGGGGTGGGACAGGACCCAGCGGGTGCACAGCAGCCCCGCGGGGGCTGAAGACCCTCTCACTGGAGGGGTTTTATTAAGCCATTACGAGCCCATGTGTTCCTGCACCTTAGCACCGGGTTCAGGCAACCGCCCTGGGAGCTGCAGCGGCTCCTCAGCTTGCTCCATGCTCTGGCTTATTCTGCCAGAGTTAAAAGGCGACCTCCGACTCCCTCTAAAGGCAAGTTCCCGCTTAATGCTCAGAGGAGCCTCTCAATCTAGGAGAAGCAGCCAAAGCCCAGCTTGTAACTAGACTCAAGACACGAAGCGACGGGGGAGCCTACACATCTGCTCAGCTCACACAAGACACCCTGCTGAGCGGTAAAGAAATTCTAGATAACCTTCCAGTTAGTGCACGAAGCCGTGGCTCTGTCAGGCTGTCGGCATTTCTGGCATTAAGCAACGTATTTCTTGCTGATTCGAGCCAGGAAACGTGCAGGCAGTTCCCAGGCCAACAACGGTTGGCCCAGTTTGCTTCTCCTGTCTAGGACAGACGACTGGCCACGCCATCCCAGGATCTGAGGGTTTCTAATGACATTACCCTCATTGTAACTGTTGAAAAGCGAGGTGTTGTTATGCCCTGGATCCAGAGGGAACCCGAGGAATGGGGAGGTTAAAGCCTTGCGCACAGACGAGATGATAGAGAGCAGGCAGACTTTGCTGCTCAGCTGCAGTTGGGCAGCAGTGGCTTGGAAGCCATCTAAGATGATCGCCAGCAAAACAGTTAAATAAAACCACGTCCAAGTCCAAAGAGATGCTCCATTTCACCATGAAATAGCCAGGAGGCTGTGCTGCATAGTGGCTTACAGCTGACAAACGCACGGCAGAGGCTGCTGCTCTGGGACGTGCTGGGATTCGGCTGCAGTGTCCCAGCCTGGGCCACCTTCACCACCGCCTCTCCCGCAAGCTCCAAATCACCTTTACAGTTCTGAAGTTTCAAATCAGCCTCCAAGGGGTAAATGTAACAATTCCCTGGCATTTTTAAAACATATTTAAAACATTACAACATTTAAAACTAGATGACCTCTGAGGTCCCTCTTCCAATCTTAAGCATTCTATGATTTTATGATTCTATGAAAACTTATCAACCATTCTGGGATTCTGTGTGATTCTGCGAACACACATTCTCCTTCACACATTTTCACATCAGTGGAAGTTATCACCAGTATCACCCACTTGGTTTCCATTATCTTCTTGATGTCTCCCATGGTTCACGGAAATTGGAAGAGTGTGAACAGCTCAAACAGAAAATGTGGAAGGTACAAAGGGGAGCAATTCTTTAATTCCTTTAAGTTTTGGATGAAGAAACTCAGAAAGGAAGAATTTGTAATTGAATTCCAATCTGTAAGAGGGTGAAGCATTTCTGAAGGAAGAAATAATTATCCCGATGCAAATTGAGCAACTAAGCAACAGGTCCAGGAGGGAAAAAAAGGTGGGGCTTGCTGCTCAAAGCTTTGCTGCAACACGTTACTGGCCTCTAGTGGAAATGAGAGGCTGTTACCTTGTGATGCCAAAATGTCATTCGCAGAACATAATGTAGGCATACGTATCTGCCAAAGCAAGCAGTGCAGGCAATTAAAACCATTGACTATTCTGCATCAGCTGTGTAAACAGCTTTTCTGCTGCTAACACTCAGGGCAGATATTGAATAAAATGTTATTTCTTATCTATACATGTGACTATTCCCATTTAGGTGCTCTTAACCATGCGTCATAAAAGAGAAAAATACAGTATTGCCTGTGGAGGCACGAAGTTTGAATCTATTCGTACTGGAATCTTTGGGTCTCTCCATGTGTTCCATTGAATACAACCCTTGTAGCCCTCAGCTTGGCTATAAAGTAGACTCTTAAGGAGCTGGGTCACTGTCTTCCATAAACACAGACTCTAGAAAGGCAGCCACACGAGCAGACAGCGATTGTCACACCAGTCCTGCTGAATTATAAACACACTCACTGGGAAACATTCACCCCAGTTTCTGCGAAGTCAAGTCACATCAATTCTTTAAAAAGAGAAATAATACCAAGTAGGATCACAGCACCAAACCTCTGAAAAGATAAGTCAGTGGAGGGCAAGAGATGCGGTGCACAATTTCAGCTAACGTAAGAGAGCAAGGTGTCTGCCTACTTTGTGGTTTTGGAAAACAAAATGCACTCTTCTGACTTGTTTGTTCTGCACTGTCACCCTGATAGCTCCCCGTTCACCATCATGGAAAGAAAGCAAGAGAAAACTACCTCCAAAAGACAGCACATGAATATTTTGAACAGATAAAAAGTCTGATCTCCATTCCATAAGTTTAAAATAATCAACCAAGGGACTTAAAGTCAATGAGTCATCACAGCCAGCTGAACTCCCATACCTAAATTATAGGAATGAAGTTTCACTGTATTTATTTTCTCCAATGGACAATGCAGAAGAAATGGAATGAATCTGAACTGGAAGCAGGTAGAAATCAATACCAAGCTGCTTGGTGTATGCAATAAATGCATACACCAGAATAAATAATAAAAATAATAAATAATAAAATAAAAATAATAAAAATAAATAATAATAATAAATGTATACAAATGCAAATGCAACTTTCAAGAGTCTCCTTTATCATCACACACCACGGAGCTCCTGGGTGCAAGCAATTGCCTTAGCATCTGTCACATCTCAGGACACAAACGAACACGAGAGCTCAGAGCTGACTAGATTACTGCTCTGGGAGCAGTCATTTTGTAGCTAATGGCACACACAGCGTGAGGTCCTCCACTGCATCACTCAGCATAGTTCATTTCTCCTGAACCTCCTTCATTTCGCTTTGAAGGCTCAAAGGAGCCAACATCACAGCAAAGAAACCCTCATTTTAGTACCTGTTGCTCAGGAAGCTGCAATATTGTAGAAAGGGGAAGAATTTCACTCCATGTCCATAGAAGTATTTTGTTTTTAGTGGTTTATAAATACGTCACTTCTATCCACTGAAAGATAGAAAAGGTAATTAAGACAAATTCTTTTTAAATTCCAGAGAAATTCAGCCTCCCCTTCCTATTGTACCCTCTGAATGGTTCACTTGACTTGTTTGTCCCTTCTTCCTACAGGCTCTGAAACTCCTTAGGCCTTCCAGTGGCAAGACACACTGGGAACAACAGATGGAGGACATCTGAAAAAAAAAAAACAAAGAAAGCTTTGTCTCTTTCCCTCCCCCCACCAATAATCAACCCCCACAAAAAAAATCAAGAGGCTCCCTGCTTCCTAAAATTTAATAGTGGGTTATCATCTGCATTTTAGTGAAGCCATCTTCCTGTTGTGAAGTTATAGCTGATTCTAACTAGCATAAGAAGGGCATTAAAAAAACAGGGATGTATTAATTGATCTTTTTGTTAAAATATAGTACATCATGTGTGCTATATTGCATTGTTTCTGTCCAACCATTGATTTGATCCAAGTGACAAGAAATCGTTATGGACAGATAGGAGATACATCTCCACTCTTCCTTAAAATGGCTCAATTCCTTGGGCCAGACACACAGCACAAGACAGCATGGCTTTTTGGGGGGGAATCTTTATCTAGACACTGACTCGCCGCTGCTTTAGTTAATTATAACATTGGAACTGAGCGAGCGCTTCCAGAATCACTAAAACTGCAAGTTAAAAGCCTGCACTTGAAACAAGACCCTCCCTGGCAAATCACTAGCAAGTGTTTCCTGCGCAGGACTGACTGAAGTTGATTTGTTATAAACTGAGTTTACGGAATATTGCTGTAGATTTTCTTTTGCCCTCTTCTCTCTAATGTTAAAATCCCTAAACCACAATCATCCATCGCACAGATTGTTTTTCAAGTTATTCTCAGCCATTCACCTTCAGAAATTGTTTCATTTCCAAAATTTTTCTGATTCTGATCCAGACTCCCAAGTTTCAAAGAGCAGACAACTCTACAAACAACTTTTATTTTATAACATTAGTGGGTTCAATTGAGGGAAAGATACATATACAAGTCTATATATACATATATATATATATACACAAGCCTATATATGTGTGTGTGTGTATATACATATACATATATATATATATATATATAAAAACACAAGCCATCAGTATGAACTGCATAGTTGAATGCATTTTGGATTGCAAATGCACAGTCAAGACTTTGAGAAAATGAGCTCTCTGCTGTGGGATTAACAATAGATCTATGCAGATTGATATTCCCGGGAGATACAGGGAAAGGAAAAAATATTAAAAGCTGACGCTCCTGGCAAATGAAAAACTAATGGGCCATAGTTTCCCAAAGGGATGGGAGGTGCTTTCATTTTATTTGCCTCTGATGACTGTGTAAGACCTGCCATAATGGGTAAGGCTCAGGGAGCACCACCTCCTGCTCAAGGGAAACACCTTGGAAATTTCAGGGAGAAGGTGGAGGGGTGAAAGACAAACAGTCAAATTCAAAGAGCACTGACTGCTCACCAGTCTGCAGCAGAAATGCAGCTCCCTTTATCATTTACTCCGAAAGTGTAAGAATTCTTCACCATTCTCATTTCAGCCTGGAGTTTCTGTATGCACATGAGCAGGAATAAAAGGCATTTTTTCAGCAGGGATACAAACTGGAGCTAAAGCCCCTTCATCATTTAGAAAGACTGTTTTTCAAGAACAATCAGTTTTGGCTTATGCTACTTTCAAACTCACCTTGAAAATTGTATGGACTCTGATACAACAGTTAAGAGACGGGCATCTGTTGGTGACATCCTTGAAAACATTCAAAATCCCTCAGCTTATTTATAAATATTTATAAGTAGGAATCTGTTTGTTCTCATGCAATTAAAGGCATTTTCAAAATCTCACCAACTATTAGAAAATTTGTTCTTAAATGAATTAGGTGAAAAATGATCAAAGCCATTTTTCATTACTTAATATTTATTAATACAAAACAAACAAACTTGTAACAAATTACTTATTTACAATTTACACTGCAGAGATCTTTAAAGATCAGTGAAAGAGTGAACCAACTCAGTGTCCAACTACTATCCCTTGGGTAGTAGTTACAGTATTGTTTAGATTCCCTCACATTAGATGTTTTTCAGCTTCCAGGTGAAGTTATGGGGAAGATGTCTCCAGCATCTCTTCTGCTTTTGGACTAAAATACAAAAAAAAAAAAAAAAAAAAAAAAAAA